ATGGGCTCATTGGGGAAACAATCAGTTTCTCACTCATCTCTCCAATTTATTTATCTTACACCAAGAGGCAGGTATTATCACCAATACAAAATAAGTAAAGCTCAATGTATGTCAAAAGTCTTGGATAGTTCCTGCCAGGTGGATAGGTGGCAGTTAGCCAGTAAAAGACTTGTTTTGTAGCTTTTATAAATATCATCAACTTGTACCAGCTTATATGCAATTCATTCATATGACCCACCAAAGAAAGCATTTTAAAGTAGAAACAGCCTTATATAAATGTACAATACTACTCGATATATGTTCAGTAGTGAGTGCTTCAGAAAGCTTAGCATTAAAATGGAAGGACACTTATATACTACAAAAGCGAGCCGCATTTTATCATTTGCTCATAAACAAAAGCTGTAATTTCTTATTTTAATGATTTCAAATTCCTCTTTAATATACAGATAGAAATCTCTATTCACCTAACTATCATACTTACACCTTACCTTCTCACCAAGCTTTCTGAGGGCAGTCAGGATTTCCACTTTCTGCTGTGTGTATAGGTCTCGTCCCAACTTCCCAACCATTAAGTCTCGGTCCATCTGTATGCCAGGGGGGAAAAGAAGTCAAAACATATAAGCTTCCCATTAGTTTCACTCAATACAACAGAATGAGAAATGCAACAGCCTAAAAATATCATCAGAAAGCATGGTACCCACAGAAGTAAGGGACAGAGCTACCCATTATTTAAACGATGGCTGTGAAATTTTTCTGAACATTCTGCAAATACTCTTTGCGCCTAACCTTAGCATTCTTGATTTCTCCAAACTTGAATCTCTTTTAATCAAAGACTGCTATTCATTTGAAATTATGGATTCCTATACCACTGATACACACAGGAATCACATTTAATTTCACTTTATCTGGATCTCAAGTTCAGTCCAGATCTCCGAAACATCTAGTGCACTCTCCAGCCCCTCAGTAGAATTACAGACTCATACTCTTCAGATTTTCTATTTGCAGTTATACTCAGTTCACTATTTGTTAATCACATTTTTGTCTTGAAGAGCAAGACAGAAGATAATTCAAGAAATACACATTATTCCCGTTACCTCAATAAATACTTAAATCTGAACAAATTCTAAGAGAGAACTTCTCTATCTCTTTATGATGCTGCCACCAAGTTTTCTAACACACTTGGTGCTCTCCTTGCAATCATTACATATTTAAATCAGTCTAGCACAAATAAACAGTTTTTACAGTAAAACAGAAACCTTCACCTCTGCCAACCTTGTCCTCAATTGCCGTGGTTGTTTCTTTGCAAACATTCTAATTACTTCCGGAGTTTTAAATGCTTGGCTGATGGCTGCTTGTATTGCCTACAAGGAAAGAGCAAGAATGACCAGAACTAATAGCAGTCACAAGCTATAGCTGTATGACAAGATTAATGAAGGCTGGAAAGCATCATTAGTATCCTCTGCATCATTTGATACAGAGAGCTTTTCTTTTTTTTTGCATAACCATGGAATTGAGATGAAAAAAATACATGACCTTTATGCAGGGCTTGAAAAATCCACTCATTAGTGCAACTACACTGAGAAAGAGCTCTGAAACTTTTCATTACAGTCCAGGTCTTCATTTCTAATAATTTCCAACATCTTCCTAATATTAGCACATCACAAGTGGATGTGCTATGCTACCTTTATCAGTTTCAATGCCCACACTGATGATTACAGCTCTTCTAAGGGTAAGAATGTAAACGATGAGGTAAATCTCCTACTGTTATTCAAAATCCTCTACAGAGTATCAAAACTATTATGATTAAATCTCACCACAGTTATGTTTGGACAAATCATGATCTCTCTGGAAACAAAACCCTAGATCATATGGCTCAAAAGGAACAAATCATGCTCTAAATAAACATTTCAAAAGAGAGAAAATAGATCAGAAGTTTGGAAGTCAGAATAAAATAAGATTCATTCACTAAAAGAACTTAAAAGTTACACAGTTACTCCTACAGCCTTTTCATTTGGACAGGACTGAATTTGAAACAAATGAGCAATAAGAGCACAGGAAATGCTGTCTTTATGCTTTCTAACAAACAGGCATGAACTTTATTTCTCTTGATATTTATTGTCCTGGATTGTCTCTTTAATATTAATTTGTATTATTTTATGTTATTTTCTACTATTAAGGATCTGATATATTTAGTCCCTGCAGTTTCCCACAGTTTTCTTCCTATAGTGTTATGGTTATAATTCTTCAACATTTTTTTTTCCTTTTAAAATGAAGAGACCTAATCAAGGTTTTATATGTACACATGTATTAAATAATAAAAACATTAGATACCTAGATCTAGCTTTCACATATGCCTGTCTGAAAATTATAATGAACCACTTGTATCTATTTTCTGTTTCACTGAGTCCAGGCAGAACATGAACTATTTTTAGTAACACATCATCCTTACCAGCTGCATCCCGCTGAGCTCGTCCACCAGAGTCATATCTCCAGACATAATCTTCTTGAGGGAGTCATTGATCTCACTCAGCTGTTCTAGAGTTTCTTTTTTGGTCTCTTCATACTCATCTGCGTCCAGCTCGTCTCTAAAGAAGATCCAGCAAGACACATCATTAATTCATAGGATTAAACCTGAGATGTAACATGGAAAAAAGGACATCAGGGAATATCATGAAATATGTTTCCTCAGACAGCAATGAAAACATTCACATCACTTCAGATTATTCTGCTCTAGCCCTCCTAGCTGTTATTTTGGTTAATACATATGTAGTCATCTTGGTTTTGCACCACCTCCTAGCCACCTATGCAGTTATGATGTTTGTGTGAAGTCACTCGTATTAAAAAGGACCTGACAAATACAAGATACTCAGCACTTGGTGCAGTATTTAAAAGCGTATTTTGGATCTCAACAAAAATACGCAGTGAGATTGTCTTGCTCAAAGCTACGGTGAATGAAATGATCTGAGAAGCCTATCTCCTCACCCAAAACCAAACAAGTCATTCAGGAATAACTGATCCTGCTGTCTAAACCTCGTCCAGTTCAAAGAACAGCACTAACAACCCCCAGCAGTTACAAATGTTCTTGAAAAAAATATGTACTGCTTGGACAAGTTAGAATTATAGTCAGAGAAAGCATCTAAAACCACATGGCACGTTTAAGTGCAAGTACTGACACAGAAAAAAACCCAAACCTTCTCCTTGGTAATTCAATCTATCTCAAATTTTATTAGCCCACAAAAAAACCTAACACAAAATCACATAAAACAGATCACATGAAAATGTTAGACGAACTAAAAAAAAACCCCAAAACAACAAACCAAACCCCAACATCCGTAATTATAAGACAAAACAGACAAAAAAACCTATTTGCTAACTGCCATTAAAAAAGCCCATATGAAAACTGTGAATTCTGTGAACAGCTATTAGAAGTTAAAAAGTCACACTGAAATACAAAATTTCAAAGAAAACAGTAATGAGTATTTTTGCCCGCATTTTCCTCAAGAAATAGAACGATGTTAATAAAGTTGTTTTTTTGAAATAAGTTTTACTACCTAACACAACCTTCCTACTTAATTTAAAGAATATAAAGCCACAGCAAAACACAAAATAAAACAAAACAACCCACAAGGTTTTTGAAAGGTACCAATTTCTTCTGCCAACCACTTCAGAGAAATATTACCATATAAGAGGAAAGCATCTATTTTTACTACCTGCATTCCTCCAGATCTTGAAGCTGCTGCATTAATCTATCCAACTGCTCTTCCAAGTTTTGTTTTAGTTTACTGGTCTCTATTGTTCCTCTTGAAGCCATTTTCTGTTTTCACATGAAAACTTTAAGCTGTTACATGACACTCCTAAGAGAAAGAACATTTTATTGTTGTGTATCAACAACTTAAAACTTATTTTAAAATGCTCCAAGTATCAAGAAAATTATGCAGTATCTTGAGGAAGTGTCTAATCAAAACACTTAGGAGATGCTTGCAGTGGAAATACAGAAATGTTAGGCTGGGTCTACGGGATCGTTGTCTTTGTAGCAAAAGGCAGCTCACCAAGTTAATAACTCAAACAGCCACGGCACAGAAAAAGAAACACGTTTCAAACCAAGGAACAATTACTGAAATACTGAGGCCCCGCTAGATGTAACAACAGATTCTACTCTTCAACGGCCCCTTGGGAAACTATTTAAGAGACAACAACCCGGATGCAGGTGTCTGAAGCACGCAAACACCTTAGATAGGATCGTTCGCCGTGGAAAACTAGTGGACTCTAGAGGAAACCCGTGCTTCTTCGGGCATCAAACAGGAGCAGACAGGTAGCTGACGGCAGCGATCAGTGGGATCTCCCGGGTGACGCACCGGCTCACCAGCCCCGGACCAGCAAGTTCGCGGGTCTGCAGTAACGCCAAGGGCTCCGGCAGCCAGGCAAACAAACGCGATCCTCCCCGCCGGAAAGGTGCGAGAGAGGGCAGCGAACAGGAGGCCTGGGGGGAAGGAGAACCGAGAAGAAGGCACTTAGGCGCCACCCGAGTCCTGCCTGCCCGCCTGTCCCCGAGGCCAGGCTGCAGCCCGGCCCTTCCTCCTTCGCGCCCGCGGTTCGCGGAGGCGACCCCGCGCCAGGCCCGCTCCTGCAAGGCAGAGCCGCACGCAGGGCAAGGAGGCCGCGACCGCCCTCCCCGCCCGCCTCGGCCCCGCACGCCGCCC